TGCCACTCAGGTGAACAGCCAGAGCCAGACAACGGACAGAACATCATGAAACTCAATCTCGGGGAGCAACTCCACGAGCAACTGGCATTTTATAGGGGTTATGTGCCGCCTGTACCTTGTAATTACCTGTTTACCCTGCATCTTACTGTGGCGATGCTTGTAGGCCCCGGATAGGCTGATTCGGGAATATACTGTGTGTTGACTTGACGCTACCTTCAATTCCGACTCAGGGTCACGTAGAAGGGCTACTTAGTACTTGATATGGAAATATATTAATTTGTTCTAAATACTGGGAGCAAATCCTCCAGCGGACCTGGAGGACCCCTGGCGAGCCCCGGGGCACTACACGTAGTGCTGACTTCCGTCTCTTTTCTCAGCCACATTCAACTTCCTAGGTCCACTATATTTTTTTCGAAACCGTGTTATCATGTATTTAATATTGCAGTCTTTGCCTTTGCACCGAAACCTGCTGATCCAGCTTGCTACGTTCCTTTTCCCAGACGAAGTGACAAGAAAATTCTCCCATATAGAAGCTGAATCCTCCCATAGTTGTGCTCGTGAAACCAACTTCTGGTTGGGTGGCATCTGCATCCCCATCAACAGTCCCTCGTGCTGCTCCATTGACCTTGGAGCCCAGCTTAGGCCAGTAGCACAGCAGTTTGGCTGATGCACCGTCAGCAAGCCAGCAACTCGAAAAAAGCAAAAGCTAATCGCCTATGACTCACACCATCCCACCAAAAGAGTGCTGAAGCATACGGCACGTAAGCAACAGTGTAACTTTGCCTGCAAACAGTCGAAATACTTACGGTGAGAATTTCCAAAAGGCAGTTGACTTCCTCTCTACTCACCAGCAACAGCAACAGCAGCAGCAACAGTGGCTGCTGCTAGGGATCATTAGAACAGTTTGCTGTTGCTTCTGCTGCACAGCAGCAGCAGCAGCAGCAGCTGAAACCGGGAGCGGAGGTGGCCTGCCACGAACTGCAAGTCATCCTGCTGCAACTCGCACCGCAACGAAACTCGAAGTGCATGAGCGATAAAGCCATATTTCTGCATGTACTAACACTATAGACGATTGTTGAGCATTTCGGTTGCCCTCAGTGACCAGCGTGCGCTCACATGGTAATACGCAGACCACCTTCACACACACAACGATACAAGGACCGTGGCGAGTTGCGTTGAAACCAAACGACCTGGGGGAAGACTTCCCCGAAAGCACCTGACTTCCCCTCTCTCCAGGCCCCCAGGGCGCAGCCGCTCAGGGCCTTGGGTTCCGGGAGAGGAGGCGGCCTGACGTGAGTTGCAGCGCACCTTGCTGCAAATAGTGGTGCAGGATAGCCTCACACGTAAGTATAACCAGGTTTCCTTTGCTGCATCCGTTACGTCTGTAGATGCTTAGTAAGCATTTATATTTGTTTGCAGGCAGCCTACCAAGGCCAAGTCAATGTTCCCGTGCTAACTTCGGCCAGACAAAGCTACAGAAGCTCGCTACAATCAAAACTAATACAGCGTCACACGCAAGATCAACCGACCCTTCTTTGCTCCATCTATTATCGCTGTAGACACTTGTTCAACATTCGTATATGCTTTCAGGCAGCTTACCAAGGCCAGGTGATTACTCCTGTGCTGACTTCAGAGATGCAATCAATGATAGTGGTGCCCTATGAAATTGAAATTCGCTTCTAGCTCTTCCTTGAAGGCATCATACATGACAACCAGTCATCAAAAATGCTTAATCTACTGACCATCGAGCAAGCTACACAAGATGGAAAAATTAATAACATACTCAGGCNTCAAAAATGCTTAATCTACTGACCATCGAGCAAGCTACACAAGATGGAAAAATTAATAACATACTCAGGCCATGTTTGTGTTGGTACAGACAGCAGTTGATATGGACAGGCGCGCCGCGGCAGCATCGAACGCATAGAGAAAATTGCATCGCTGAGTGGAAGTAGAAGATAACTCTTACAACTTTCTTAGTTAGAGGTGCGATACATATTTGAGGAGGGGGATTTACTAGCACGAAGCTCGCCGCACCCCGACGCGCCTCATTGACGGGGACTTCAGCTTGCCAAGAATCACCCACCTCTCTGGCCACAAAAAGGGAGCAAACACCGATGATAGCAGCGAAATAATGAAGTTTTGTTGGGGGCTATGGCGGAAATATATTAGGATCTGCGTAGTTTTCGACTAGGATATTTGGCCTCACTGTCCCGTCCAACCCCACTCAATTATTGCCAAGCTGGAATCATTGTGGGCCTTTTCCTCGTCCTCATGCGCATGCTCCAGAAAATAATAATCCAGATATATTAGTATTTTTAACAGAGTTGCATGCTGCTTCTGCAGCCTGTTGTTCAACTTTAATTTGTTTTTCTTCAGTCGTGCATTTTTCCATCGACGGGCCCCAGCATCTCTGCCGNTGTTTGGTCGATGTGCAAAAGACACAATTTCCTCAGCGCGATCGCCCAATCCGGTTGATTGTTGTAGACGTTGACGGAACCCTCACTACGAATGACGGTATATTCTCGACGAAAAACATAGAAGGGTTTAAACGCGCAAAAGAGCTAGGCATTGAAGTTGCGTTCGCTACAGGGAAAGACCCAAAGGCTACCGAAGACGCCCTTGGCTACGACACGCTAGAGGCAATTGGCTATTTTGGTTTTCCCGGGGTGTTTGTTAATGGCGCATATGTTGTGGACCGGCAAGGAGACATTATTGCAGACGGTCCGCTAACCAAAATTCAAAAGGATCGACTCCTTCGTTCTTTTAGCGCCCATGGACTAGGTAACGTCTCTTTCGGGAAGACACCGCCAGGACCAGTTCTAGGCACACGAGATGATACTTACACTAGCCAGTACAGAGCAGTCGTGTCTGACGAGCCCAGAAAGCTTGACGAAGTTCTGCCGCATCTGAAGGAAGAATTCGGCGAAGAAATTGGATTCGCGAGGTGGGCCGCTCGTGCCTTCAGCGCTTATCGGGCAGAATTCAACAAGGGCACTGGCCTCCGCCAGCTTGCTAGTCGTTTGAACATTGATTGTGAGGATATCCTGGCTCTAGGGAACGCAGACAACGATTTGTCGATGTTTAAGGAGGCAGGCATTGCAGTATGTGTCGAGGATGGTGATGACATCGCCAAAGATGCAGCTGATTATATCACCGTGAAAAGCAGTGAAGGCGCATTGTTCGCTGTCGTACAGGAGATCGAGAAACTTGGATATTACCCACGTGCCTTTCAACAGCCTGAAACGGCAGAGTGAGCCAACCGCCTTTGCGGATGTGTTGCTCGGATCTTCTACAGTGTATGATTGCGGTACGTCCTATTTCGTTTGAAAGGGCGCATGCAGCAACGAAGCACCTGAGAAGCTGATTTCAGCTTCCAGAATACAGGTTGGAAGACTCTGCGCAACGCTTCCAAACTTTATTGACGCTATGGTGGCTCTTCATCAACTTTTACGGCTTTTCCAAACGCAGTTGGCGTTTCATACATAGACGCTCCCTGCGGACACGGGGACACGGCCGTGTACCATCTCGTTTAGAGCCGGGCCCCTCGAATACGTGAAGTTATCCTTCTACTGTATTCGCACGAATGCGCCTACAGCTTGAAGGTCTCTCTCTCGTGGACGCATTCGGGCAAAGCTCAAGTAGCGTATGCCTGTAGCCAGCACTGGAAATCCTTCACGCATCCCTTGACATTTCAGCAAAGCTGCTTTCTTGTTCCACTAGTTCACATGTGACAGTTGAGGGGTTGTACTGTCACGAAGTACAAACCGTCAATTGCTACTTTTTGATACGCACCTTCAATAGCTAAACTTGCCTGGACTCTTCTGTTTAGGATGTCAGCTGCTACGCCTGCCTCGGGCCCTCTACAACTCCGACTAGTGCTACATTCCGGAAACGATCTCACAGGAAAGAGTAATTAGGTGGTATCTGAGTGATTAAAAAGTAGATGCTATGGTAGACGGCGAAAATAGTGCAGTGGTGGCACGGCCTGCAAATGCCAAGCGNTATGCTAGCTGGCAGTGCTACGCACGACCATGTGGGTTGTCGGAGACGAGGTCTTCCAGCTTGTCAAGCTGCAGTGGCAGTCGCTCTGTTTGATGAGCATCCTAGGAGGCGCCTGCATCGGAAGGCGGGCAATACTGTGCAGATGGAGATACTCAAGGACCCAAAAGGCCAGCGACGCTTACTCGGTTACCGATACAACTTGTTGAAAGAGAGACAGATTAGGGATAATTTGACTCTTGCTTTCCTGAGCAGACACATGGCTTTGTCTCAGTGGCTGCCACCGACCCATTCTGCCATATACAAAGAACGGGAAACAGTGAAGCCTTCAGATGAAGGAGCCATATTCGCCATGTTAGAGACAAAAAAATGCAAAGAAGCGCAAAATGGCATCTGCCAAGCAGGTGAAGTGCAAGGCGCCCTTGCAAAACTGCAACAGATGATGCAGATGGAAATGGTCACGTGAGTCCATAACAGGCCTAGACAGCCAAAACTGGCGTTCTCGGTTGTATCTTCGCGGGGCAGTACAATTAGAAAGGGCTTACACTTGAATTAAACGGCCGAAGGCGCTAGTCAGCATCTCAGGGATCCGCCCAGAGAAGCGTGCTCCGCCCTAAAAGACTGTTGCACACCTCGCTAGGAAACTGCGAAAGGGGTATAAACGAACAGTGCATTGCCTCTTTTACTTAGTTGATGCAGAGTGCGTGCAGTGTATGCCACATATCATCTAATATCCCGGCTGTCCGATTGTCTCTCCTGAAACCAAGAAACAGTTATCGTATTCCTTCTCGCTTCCAAAAAATGCATGAAACTTGAAGCAAGCGTTTCTTCTGTGATTTTTGTTCTTGGGAATATTAGCGATGAAATGCTTTCTGGGTGTGTAGGTTCAATTCCCCCTTGTCCGCTGTAATGCCGATGATACGAAGACCAATGGTCTACAGTTCTATACCGTTCTCCACTCTCCGAGCAATTAACCGGCAAGTCTCTGGTTCGATCTAAAGATAAGAAATCACCGAAGAAGTTGGTGCCTTACGCTGTATTCCCATATCGAGGAAAAACTGCTGCAACATGCAAAATGGCTCCGGGAAACGCACTGCTCAGAGCGCTGCCGCCCCACGCCATAGGCCTGTACCCTTTGCGCGTACGGTCCGTAGAGCATTTGAGAGGGTCGTTTAATCGCTTCTACCACATTTATATTTTTGATGCGTTTTATGTGATTTGTTTTGCTTCAAAAGGCAGGTCGCCGGCTCGTGCCTGTCACTGGGCCGATTGTAATGATGCCCCTACCACGTGGTCGCCACTGCCAGCCGAAGCAGGTGGACAGAAACTGCTTTTCATATTGTTAACAAAAGAAGTACAATATTAGTGCTGAAAAAGATTGTCTCAAAACTGGTAGCTCGCTGTGAAGGGCCGGAGCAGTGCCCGCGCAGACCGTCGGCCACTCCAGACAAGCAGCGGGGTTTGTTTGATGCTGACCGTGCCTTTTTCGTTCTTCCCACACAGTTTATTGAATTTCACAGGCTATTTCTGACTGCAGTTCAGTAATTGCAGCCGCTTTTTCTGCAATGCATGACGCCGTGCAGACTATGTTTCGGTCCCTGGAGACGCCGACAGATGCCGTCACTGCAACGCGACATCATCAATTCATCAACAGCAGCAACGTTATCTCGTATCCGAGTCCTCTCGCCTCTGTGGGGAGCCGTGGACACCACGCGAAAACTTTTGCCCTTGCTGCCATTGTGTTCCTATTGTCCTTTATTTTGGCAGTTTCTTTCTGTCTACTCCCAAGGGGGAGGGTGTCGTCGCAGCCATTGCTGCGCCGCCTCGCTAGTAGTGATGGAAAAAGCGAGAGTACCGTAGATGAGAGCGAATTTTCAGTGCTCTGTGGAGAGTTCCTAGAAGCATGGAGTCCCCTTCAACCAGAAGGAGGCAATACCTTGCCGCCGTTCCCCTCCCCTTCAGCATTGGTAATTGGTGAAGGCCTTCCTTTCCCGAGAAAAAGAAACGTGAGTGCTTCCCAGGGCGAAGAAGCAGAAGGCGGAGTAAAACGGGCCCGTCAGGAACCTCTTTGGATGGAACCGACTGCAGGGGCCAGCTATCAGGCGACGGATGCGTTGCAGGCTGGTGCATCCACTAGTTATCACGTTCCTCCTACTCAGGAAGGCCAGCATTTCACGCGGCTTCAGACCATCCCTCCCCCAACTGCCCTCTCTGAAGGGGTCTCAGACACTTTAGGCCTTGCATCGCCGTCCGACGACGAGAACAATGATGAGGTATTTCGTTGGATGGACGCGCTATTGGAAAATTTTGGGTCCGAGCTTGAGATGCTGCACAGTGGTCCAGATAAACTTGACTTGACCGAACTGGCATCCAGAGCCTCGTCAGACCTGCTATATTTGGATGAGACTCCCAGCTCATCAGCTAACGTCACCCCAAGCCAACCCCCTGGAAAATTCTCTTCCGGATACCAGCCCAACAGAGAAGCCTCCCCTTCCCCCCAGACAACTGGAGAAGTCTTACCAAGCTACAGGACCCCTGAAGAAATAGGTTCGTAAAACGACGGACACGGCTACCGACCACGATCCACTCAAGATAGTCCAGTAAAGTGCCCGGCAAATATTCATCTGCACGGCATCTCCCAGCTCTCGGAAAACTGTTGAAGACCTTGCAGCTTTGTTTTCTCATTTTATTTGTGCCCTCCTGCAGGTTGGCCTTCTGCTGCTCCTGAGCAGCTACCATTTCTTGCACCGCAGGGCAGTCCCTTGGCTCACCTGGATCTCCCTTTTCAGCCTGCACAGTTAAGACTCGAGTTTCAGGAATCGAACCAGATGTCCGGTGCCCAAATTTCGTCGGGTGCTCGAGACGCCCCCCAACACATCCAAGGAGATGATGGAAGTCAGATTTTTCTCCAGATCATTCAGGAGTCACCGCACACTTTGCAGCCTTCTCCCGGCAGCAACTGGAAAACAAACCCTACCTTTTTGCTTGCTGATACGACGTCTTCCGCTGTCCCAACCGCACAAGCTGCTGAACACTCGGAACCAGAGGAATTCAAGTCACAGCTTGGGCACTCCGTCAGTTTTGCACTGTATAGCAACTATGTGTGGAGTTATTAATTTTGTCGTGTCGGTCACTTTACCAGGGCCACCTTAATACTTCTAGAAATAGTGCAGCTCATCTCTGCTGCATCCAGGTTACGTTGTACGTGCATATCCGTGCCCATTTCCACTGCTCTACATTGCAGCTGGGTGTAGTGGGCTTATATGTTTCTACGCAGATAGAGATGTGTATGGTTGGGCCTCAGGACGGAACTTCTGCTGCTTCGCTTGGGCTTCATGGTACTTCTAGCTGGACTGGCATCTCGGCAGATAAACAGCCAAACTCAGCGAGCACTTCCTCACCGGAGTCGACCCCTGCTCAACCATCAGTAAGCCGCCTCGTTCTTTTGAGAAGGCCCCACAGCACGGTACCCATAGTGAATTGACGTACTTAGTCTCCTATTGTGCGTTGCCGAGTGGTTCTGCTTTATTTGGTGTTGGAAATATAACAGTCACTGAGGCTTTCCCTTGACTTTTGCCGTGCTACCGTTTACGGGTTTTGCCTGTTTCACACCTTGATTATTCAAGAGTAACCGGTGGAAGAGTTTACTTCCTTTAACATTGCAAGCCTACATAGCGCGCATGAGCTGCAACCTCTCTGTGCATGCTGCTTCAAAGGTATTAAATACCTTCGAAACAGCATGCACGGATAGGTCGCAGCTGATAGACGCTGTGCATGCGGGGGCCGGTTGTTTTGCACTTATATTTCTTGCTCTGTTAGCCGTAAGCCTGTTTTGGTCCTGTGCTTACCTGAAGGGCCCCACAATTCCAGAAGGACTTCCATCGACAGGACCCAGATGCCCGGAAAGAACCGATTTTTGTAATCACCTGTTCTATCGATTGCCGGAAGTCGGTCAGTTGGAGTCGGTGGATCCATTTAGCTATGAGAGGGCCATGAAGAAGGTCCCTCGTAAGTGGCTCGTCAGCATAATGCTGCCGCTTCGAAAATTGCTCAGAAAGACCGAACTCACAACGCAGGATGCTCGCTCTCTCGTCAGCTTGTGCGAGCATCTGGTAGCTTTTCAACTTGCACATGAAGAGAAAAAGAAGGAGATGTACCCGGTAGAGATGGTGAATCTGTTGGCATTTCGGTTTCTAACGACAGATTACTTGTGGTGTGCTTGTGAAGTGTTGGGGACCGCAATGAGGAAAGAAGCTTGGTGGGATATTCACATGGGTAAACTTTTGAAGGTTCCACATATGATAGTAATCCGTTTACAACAAGGATATGAACATGTGATTCTTGCGAAGAAGCTCTTTTCCGCCTTAAAGGTATATGGGACAGGAAAGCGCCCTCGGGCTCGTGAAGTTGTTGAATTGATGCGGGAGATCCTGTGCAAAGCGAGCCGCCCCAGAAGGTTCAGGTCTCCCATGTGGGATCCGTGGAGAGAAGACGATTTGGAATTCTCGCAATCAGATTCACATTGATATAGTTGCTGTGCAAGTTGGACGCCTTGCTTTCGTTAGCAAGGTCATGCTTGACTTTACACTGACACAACTGCTGTGAACGCTGGCGCTGCATGCTCGGAATTTGCTATTTGACGGAAGATCATGCCTCTGCGAGCTTCGGAGCTGCATAAATATCTCAGGGCAGTTGCTTCGCTTTCAGAACATTGATAGCCTTCGGGTAACTCTTAGCTGGAAGCCAAGGAGGTTGTCTCCAAAAGCTAATGTTGCATGTTTGTGAGCTGTTCGAGCTTTGTCTATAGTGTCGCTCCCGGGATGACACCGGGGCAACGCTTCCCATGTGGTGTTGAGCGACTAATAGTGGTTCCGCAGAGCGTTTCACATCTTCAGCATACTGCGCTTATGTAAATGGACTGTGTGGGCGTCCAGTGACGCCGTCGCACAGCCTGCGTTATGCAGTTGGCGAGGTCTACGCTGATTCTGTCCTTCCTTTGAACGCTGAACATCAAGGAAGATCGGAGGCCCATCAGTGTGAGGGCGCAGTCATAACTATACCTATGAAGGCTGTCTTCAGTTGCCTCGATAGGGAGCGTAAGCTCACTCCATTTGCCAGCACACACACCCAGCCAACATACCGATATGCTCACTTAGTCATGTGTGAGTATCTGCACCAGCTCAACTATCTCATGCGGTACGGCGTAGTGCACGAGTGATGCAGTTATGCCAGCCAACAGACTGTAGTTACTTCCCCAGGTTGTAGTTACAGGTAGCCACACAACGCCATCACATCCGGCGGATCTAAGACAATGCTACGGAGCCAGCTTATGGTGCCCACACTCCGGGCCCTGAAGCAGCCAAAAAGGGTACGCTGGAAGCCCTATTGAGAAGCCGGAATGGTTGGTCATACCCATTTCTTCTTGCTCGTCTGTTGGGCATCCGAAGCACTTTGCGCCAGTGCCTCATGCGGGGGCTGAACGCTACAGGAATATACAATTTAGACCCGGAACTTCAGTACCATTGACTATGCCCCTTACCTGGTCGGGTAGCAAACGTTTTTATATCCCGAGACGGACGGCTGTAGGCGAGCTGCTGAGGACTCCCATCCCATCCCTTGCGGTGGACTTTGCACGGCCATTCGCGGGCTATCCTAACGCCTTGATACTTTTAGCTGTAATTTTCCCAGTTTGCAGATCGCCACTGAAATCATTTGGCAGCGGATTCGTGACGGTTGATTGCCGTTCTCAGATTCCTAGGATGGGCGGATAGCTCGATGGGGGAAGCACTGGGTGTTTTTGAGGTTACACGCCGGAGTTTTGAGGAAAGCTTAGGGCCTTTCGTTACGGATGGAAAGTAAAAAGCGATATAACTTGCAAAACACGCACTTTAGGAAGATGGACGCGTGTCTGTCAACAGGGACGAGGCCGCGCGAAGGGGCTGCGCAAGGGCGGAGTAACGACCTGGGCTAGGAGCCTCTTGCCGTTGAGCTACAACGCGATAAGGAGGAACTACAGAACACTGAACAGCGAGTCCAAGAACAGGAAGTCGTTGACTGAAGCTTGAGGCGAAGAAGGATGGCCTGTGCAGTCTTTTGGTTTGTGATGTACCTGGGGAGCTGCCGAGAGACGGGCGCAGAACGAGTTAAAGGCAATATGGGCGAGGGGTGATCGATTATAAAGGCAAATAAATTGTATGGAAAGGAACATGCTGATCGGACATGGATTTTCAGGACTTGAGCCACATGGTCACGGGGAAGGAACCACGGCGCGAAGTGGTAAAGCTGCCACACGATGTGTACAGCCCATTAAAAGGCCCGTAGAAGCATTGATTTTGTGAGAAGGATCCTCTTGGTTAAAGAGATCAGAACTGCCAGGGGAAAATCCGTGGCATAATGTCGGGCGCAGAAAACTGCCGCCGGAACGGGGCAAAAAGGAACTGAGCTCCTCCAGGCATAGTTGAAGCTTTACTGGACGTTAGGATGCCAGGCATCAAACATATATATGGAAGTATATTATGCATACATACAAATATACTTATATTCTACGCGTACAGCCTTTGTATGCATAATATAAATACTAGAGATATCCTGGCAACGGTGAGGCCGCGACACCCAGCGCCGATGATTGCAGCCGACGGGGGACGCACAGCAGAAAGCAACAGCGGCTCTTGATGAGACCATATTGGACACAACATAACAGTTGCAGAGCATTTTGGTGCGATTTTCGACTTGAATAATTAGCCTCTACAGTGGAGAGTGCAACGCTTGAATCTACCGAACATAGGCCAACCAGTGCCACCACTGAAACTACAACAAACGCTTGTTGCCGCCTTTATGGCTTACGGAAGCGAGCGCCCCGCAGCCACTGAATTACTTGATTACTCTCCCCTAGGAACAGACCACACGGGTATCTGAAGGCACTGTTGCTCCCACCACAGGCACTGCCGCAGCAGCAGCACCAATGGAACGCGAGGAGACAGGCGAGGCATCTACTACGAAAGAAGCCAAAACGGACCTTCTTAAAAGTTTAGTAGATGCAGCAAGGAGAGTTGACGTTCGTTCACTCTTGCTTCATGTGAACGTCTTCCTGCTGCAGCAGCAGCGCCAGCTGCAGCCGCCGTACTTTATGCCCGCATCCCCAGAGGAGGATAAGCTGCAGTTGCAACTGCTGCAATGCCGTCAAACACTGCTGCAGCTGCTAAAGCACAGCGCAGCAACAGCAGCAGCGGGCGCTGCTGTTGCTGCAGCGATCCCTGGCAGAAGCTACCACGAGAGGGACACGCGGCCGCTCATATTCAACCAATCCACAGCAGAGACTTGGAACGATTTGTTGCAGGTATCTTATCCTGTGTTTTGCTGCTAAAATGTACACTAAAATGTACTTGTGTTTGTGCATTTACTTTCTGCATCGGCCGAGTCGCACACAATGATGCGTCATCGCGCGTTCCCCTGTACTGTGGCAGCTCTGTTATGTTCGTGCTCTGCTGTTGTTCGCACTGCACGCTTTCTGTTGCTTGTGGCTGGTTCTGGTCCATCAGGACCTCCGGAAAATTGTATCTCTGCTCAAGGAACCGCTGCAATCTCGGCAACCCACCCTATCGGCAACTGCAGCCGCAGCCGTAGAGGAGCTGTTGGACGACATCGATGCCGCCCTGAGCTGCAGTCGAAGCCGGAAAAGGGAATGTAGAAGGCAACTTCAAGAATGGCAACAGCAAAAAGGCGGGAAGGGTCCACAAGCATATCAGATTTGGTCGCAGCACCAACGCATGCAGCAGCAACAACAGAGGCAACAGGTGCACCTCGTGCAAAATGAAGTTAGAGCCTTAAAAAACCGACTTAAAGAATTGAGACACCCCAAAGGTATCGAATCGAAGAGAAGTGGGGAAGCGCCCCTCCAAGGCAACGCAGCAATGAACACAGCGGGAGCAGTGACAGCAGCAAACAAGCATACCGCCAACGCAATCCACCACCAACGAAGCACTGAGGAGTCATACTCCTCCAGCGACGGTAGCAGCCTCAGCAGCAGTAGCGGCAGTTCCAGTGACAGCAGCAGCAGCGATAGCAAACATAGTAGCAAAAGTAGCAACGGCAGCAAAGCCAGCCCAAGGAGCGACGAGAGCAGCAGAAACAGTAGTAGTAGCGACAGTAGCAAGCGCAGCAGCTCAAGCAGCAGCAAGGAGAGTAGTGGCAGAAGCAGTAAAAGCAGTAGCAGCAGCAGTGGTAGCGACAGCGACAGCCACGCAGCAGTTGAGCCTGTCCGTGCCATTTCAGGGGCAGCCAAAGTAGCTGGGGCACCGGCAACACCTGGTACCCCCGTGCCTCGAACAGCGCGCGCAGAGGGCAAACAGAAACGGCTGCTCGGCAATGGCTAGCAGCAGATCGTAGGCGAACAGGAGCGGCAACGATGGCATTTGAGACGCTACCTGTCCTACGCCAACACATCCAAAGGGCTGTCATCTTGAGACCTGGTCTACGTGGGCACTGTCTGTCGTGGCGCTGCCCCCGCATACTTGTTCACCTACTATCCTAAAGCTCGCCTGCTGTTCATGTTTATTTGTGCATCGTTTGGCTTGCTGGGCCCCCCAGCGTGTGAGCAGAGCAGTGGCAGCTGTCGCTGCGTCCTGGTGTGTCACCTCCTTCAACCGCTTGAAGAGCAATTAAAGGGCAGTTTGAGGCATCAAGTAATGTAACCATCATGCGAAGGCCCCACAGAACAGATAGATAAGCTTGCCTTCGGACAGTGGTGTGCATAGCTCTGTGTTTGCGGCCAATGCGGCTAAACTCCACCATCTGCGGCTTAGTAGCTGCTAAGGAAGGCAGATAATACTAAGAAGGCTGTGATAAGTGCAGAGAAAAGTTGTGAAGGGGAGCTGCGGAGTGCTTTGGGCCGCGTGGCTTGGCGTGTTTAGGAGGAACCCACATCGGGGGAGGTCGTTCTCCCCCACAGTTGTGGCAAAGGAGCAAATGCGATGCATCCCCCCTTCCAGCTAGGCCATTAACTTGCAGTTATACTCGACTAGCTTACTCTTCAAGCTCTAGATAAAAAGAAAAACGCAAAGAGACAAAGCAGCATTGAGGGCCGCATATAATCGGGGAGCTGGCACCAGTCAGGGCCCGCGAGGTGGTTGTGCCACGGCGCCCCTCGTTTGTAATCCCATCTCTTCCAGCAAATGTGGTTTGGTGTTTTTAATTGTATTGATTCAACTTAGCGGTTTTTACGAAGTCCTGAGGCCCCAGCTCCCCAGGCAACGTGGTTCTGGCGTTGCGCGTGATGCCACATCGGGGCACATCGGCAGCTGGCGGCGCGGCGGCTGCTCTTTCCTTGCGTGCCAGTTGAAGTTCTTCTGTTCCAAAAGGACGGGGGAGGACAGCCATTCAGGCCATTCCAGAAACACAGGGTTCTCTGGAAACTCGGGAGGTACCGAATCTGCAGCAGCAGTGCAGCAGCGAGAGGCGCTGCCCCTACGCCGCTGCTCGGGCGCCTCCTCTCGGAACGCAAACCGCCTGGAGGACAGCCTATTATTGGCTGTCTGCACCCAACATCAAGGGTTTGGTGCACAGCCTGTTCGTCTCGGAGCCTTTTCGTCTCTCTGCTCCCCACCCCCCGGGGCTCGGGGGGCACCGACCAGATGGCCTCTCCGTCGGAGAAGCGAAGCGCCTTGCAGTTCCTATGGGCCGCAGCGATAGTTACCTTCCTCATAGGCGTAGCACCTGCGGCTCGCAGGCGCCTCCGCCAGACCGTTGTTGAGGAAAATGCCCCCATTGCAACGCCCACTCAAGGGAGCCCGCACGGCTGGTGGATGGCGCTGCAGCAGCAGACAGTTGCTGCAGATGCCACGCGAGAAGTGAGTAGCGAATATGTTACACGGCTCCCCCTGATGCAGCAGGCTCTCTGTGAGCGTTTTTCCCTCCTCTGCCTCGATAGCAACACCAGCGACAACGACAGCAGCAGCAGTGACCGCACAGAAGACGGAAGCCTGAGAGAGAGGGTTCGGGGGCTGGGGCTTAAAGAAATGACGGACTTTGCCCTGGCAGCGCCTTTCCTCCTGACTTCAAAGTGGACCGCCTTCACGGAGATGGTGTTACAGCTGGGGATCATTCGAGACAAGTCCCTCACAAGATTTTCTGCGCTGCAGCAACGACTCGCCCCATTCTTCCCCACAGAAAACTCAGCAACAGCAGCAGAATCAGCAGAAGCAGAGCCGGCACCAGCACCTGAGCGGAAAAGAGTCTCTCCCCCTCCGTCACCATCGGGCTCGCCTAGAACTCCCAGCAGACAGTTGAGCAGAAGGGGGAGGAAGCAACCGGCTCATGAATCAGCAGATCTTCCACCATTGCCCCCGCCGCGGGAATATTCAGGGCGAACAGCACTAGCAGCAGACGCTGCAGCAGCAACAGCGGCGGCAGCAGCAGCCGAAGGGACTGCTGATGGCGTAGATATGGAGTTCGTCAGGCTCACCTGGACAGAGCTGCAGGACCTGGCTGAGGAAGAGCGCCAGTTGGCCTCCACATATCTGGCCCTCGCAGCCGAGCAGAATCTCTTCAACTCCATCCCAGATGACTCTCTGTGGGAAGCGCTGCTGCAGCAGGTGGTCAATAAAGCAGCAGCAGCAGCAGCTGCAGCGAAGAGCGGTTTAATGGCGACTTTTCCGGACCTCTACCACGAAGGAACAGAAGGATATCAAGTTGCGTTTGCTGCACTTGCTGCAGCTGACGAGCGCATTCGGCTGCTGTTGCTGCAGCAGCAGGACACATACGCAGGCAGCCAGCCAGTCTTGTTTTTCATAAGAGGGATCCTCATCTCTCTCTGTGAGCCTGGTGAGTGCAGCGGAGCTCTTTAAACGGCCCCCCACACCAAGAAACAGCCGCAACAGGAGTAACAGCAGGAGCATCAGTACCACCTGGTGCTGCAGAGTCTCCTGCAGTGGTCGAAGCGCATGCACGTCCCTATTTTTTGAACCAGCAGCAAGACCAAGTGCTGCACATTTGCGTCGGCGATAAACATGTCGCCTTGACTGAGGTGACGCGCAAGTGGCAGCAGGAGCAGCAGATGCGGTGGAAGCAGGGCGTACTCACGTGGACAAATAATTGAAACAAGATGAATGAGCATTTTTGGGGGGGGTGAGGCTTGGGTTTCCTCTTTCTATGTTCATTCACTCTTTCTTCCTCACCTTAAGCTGTCATCTGTCTTTCATTATTTTCTTGTCTTCGTTTTCCCCGTAGTGGCATATGCGCAGCTTGGTGCTTCTTGACTCTCAAATCGTGCCGCGGGGCAGTCACCTCCCTCGGCGGCCTTGCGTTGCCACCGCAGGGCGCCAAGAAATGGGCCGGAGGCGAAAGCAGCTGCAGCAGCGGCTGCAGCAGCAGCTGCAGCAGCTGCAGCAACGGCTGCAGCCGCTCCAGACTTACCTTGACAGTTCAGTAGGCGGCAGCATGTGCGCCAACCTTGGCCACATTGGCTTGCCGCACCAACTGCAGAAGCGTCAGTAGCTTGTACATATTGGGTGCATCCGTCCGTAGACAGTCGGACCTCAATGGTTAGCCGTGGTTAGCAGGGGTTAGCTGTAGCTAGCTATAGCTAGCTGTTGCATGTTTTGCGGGAGACGGCGGTCGGGTTGCCGTCGCACCGCCATTTCGTTCTCTTTGGCTTTCTGACGGACAGTTTCGATACGTGGAGTGGCATCCAATCTCCATAAACCACAGAACTGATTGCTCAATATCAAAATGCAGATTCGGTGTTGTGTTCGGTCTTCCTCAACTGTTTGCCGTGGGGAGCATGCTGTTAGAATTCTGGAGTGCAGCCGTTTGGGTCACGCTTTCTGCCTGCGACGGTGTACGCAGAGAAAACACTTACTGGTAATGTAGTGTACGCAGAGAAAACACTTACTGGCAACGTAGTGTAGAAAGAGCCCTTCTAAATCACCATAAAAAAATATCGGTAGGAGACCAGCGAACAGGTTGAACAGTAGTGCGATAGATTAGTCAATTGAAGGCAGACAAAACGCAGGACGAGGCCCCGTGAAACGACAGTGCCGTCAAGCCATTAATTGCAATGAACACAGTGCAGGCATTCCAGTGGCCCTTTGGGGGACGCGGTCAGCAGCACCGTTCACACGAACTTCTCTACGACGTGCATAAAGAAGCGCCAGAAGAGCTCAAGTCCTCCCGCCAGTGGGGCTATGGTGGGAGTTTGCTCTGTTCACCACGCGCTGAGCGGCGCATGTCGAGGTTGCAGGAGCAGCCGAGGCGCTGCTCTTGTGTTCTGCTTGGGGGCACCACATGAGAGAAGCGAAAGCTCAGGGGATAAGGAACAGAAGGCGGGAGGACGTGAAGTGCAGACCGACGCAGGCAGCTGCCGGAGACACAGAAGCGAACAAACGGGCACATAAACACAGAATTGCTCACGAAAAAAGATATTAGCCACGAGGAGACAGAACCGCGAAACAGGGTACCCCCACAAACGCTGGAGGAGACAAGGAAGAGACGCAGATAAACACTTTCACGTGCGGTAAACGCCCTGATGTCAAAAGGAGCATAGCTTGAGATGCAGTTTCCCCTTTGTTGCGTCCACGGGTTCCTGGCTCTCCTATTTTCGTCTTCCCCCCTTCCTTTCTGTCTTTGTCTCCGAGACATCCACGAGAATTTTTTTGGGCCTCTTGATTCTGTTTTGCTTAGTATTCACACCGTGCACGGCTCGCCCCTCGTTGCGAGGACGCTTCCAGTGTACATCTCTTCCACTGATTCTCCTTCAGCCCCCACGGGCTGTCTCCCCTTCCGTGGCGCTTCGCTTGCCGTGTAACTGTCTGCATTTTTTTTCATAGCGCCTGGGCCTCTTGCGTCTTTGCTTCTGTTTTCTCCTGTGCGTGGAGCCTACAGCTGCACTTGCCCCGTTCCCTGATTTGTGCTCGGCTTGTGGCAATGTCAGCGAAGCTTAATGCTTACTACTGTCTTTTCCTTGCTGCAGCGATGAACTGCAGTGACTGCTCACTATCATTCTCCTGCATTTGCTCTAACGCTTGGCACTTAGCCTGTCACCAGCTACCTGTTCCAGCTCGTGATATTAGCTTGTGTCCCTATTCTGTCTCCCCCAACTCCCTCTGGCTTGCAGGCAGCAGCAGCTCAACCAGTCAAAGCAACAGCAACAACAGCAAAAGCTACAGCAGAAGAAGCAGCAGCGGCGTCACGACTACCAATACCTACATCGTAATCAATTAAGTCAACATGCTAAGACGGATAAGTTTGCTTGCTGCCACAGAGGGGCAGCGGAACGGAACAGAGACGTTTATCCCTTAAATTCAAAACATGCCATTCTTCTTTTCACTGCAAAATGCGGCTGCTGCTGCGGCCCATATACGCCTGCTCCTATTTGCTGCTGCTGCTCACTCAATACGTCACACACGGCTGCATGCGATACTGCTGCCGTACCTGCTGCCAGTGCAGCTGCTGCTGCTGTACCTACTGCCGCTGCCACAGCGTCTACTACAGCAGCAAAAGATGCTGTAGCGTAAACGCTGCCGTTGAGCCAAGCTCCTGATTGTCGGTCATGTGCTGACGATGCCTGAGCACCATGCAGCGCGTGCAGCCTGTTGCTGTTGCTGTTGCTGCGGCGGTTGCTGCAGCAGCAACAGCAGCACCTGCAGCAACAGCAACGGCCATGCGCGTGGGAATTCCCTATTCACATCTTTGTAAGCGACGACTCCTCTGCTAGTCAGCGCCTAAGATGTACACAATGGCATCTCGGAGCTGCGGCAGTCGGCGCAAATCCCCAAAGTCCTCGGCTCTGTTCAACGCAGCCACGCAAGAGCGACGCCAGGCCTCAAAGTTTACATCTGCGTGCACACACAAGACCCCACAAGAGGGCATAACGCTCCGTACGGCTCCGGAGCGAGGCAACAGATGCACAACTGCCTGTCCAGCTGCAAGCCCCGCAGCACCTTCCAAAATACGAGCAGCCTCGCACTTGAAACCCGACTGCACACCCATTACCACTCAAACGCCTAAGGGAGTAGACCCCCGGCATGAGTGAACAAGAGGAACCAAAGAGTGGTGGAGGCAACACGGCCACGCTGTGCACGGGTGTGTGGGACATCTACGGCCCACACACAACCCACTGCCTCCTGCCGCGGAGGTCCGACCTGATGCTACAGCTGATGCTGCTGCGAAGGCAGCAGCAGGCTGGGGGGCTAAGCATTCGTTGCACCTACATTTTTTGAGGATCGCATCCTTCGGCGGGGAAGTGGAGGCTTCTGCTGCTGGCCTTCTAAGCCCCTCGTGCTGCTGCTGTTGCTGCTGCTGCTGCTGTTGCAGCAGGGACAACAGCTGGAGCTGCTGTAGTCGTTGCTGCTGATGCTGCTGTGGCTGTGGCTGTACCGGCGGCAGTGTCTTAAGAGGCCGCACGGGCGAGGTGTCGCTCTTTACAGCTTTTTGCTGCAGCAGTAACAACTGTTGCTGCTGCAGCTGAGAGCCCCTGATCCCGCCTGCAGCAGCAGCTGCTGCTGCTGCCGTGGCTGCTCCACTAGCTGCCGTTCCCCCCCCCGCAGCTGCAGCCGCCGCTGCAGCAGCCGCCGCTGCTGCAGCAGCAGCGCTTTCTTTTCGCGCAAGAGCCTCTACGTACAGGAGGATCTGCTCGGGCCTTCTGCTGCTCGGCAGTCTATGCTGAATGATGCAGTCTCTAAATAGGGACACGAACTCCTCCAATTCCTGCGGCGACGTAGCAGCTCGCACGCGGCGCTGGCTTGCCTGAAAAGCGCAACAACAAAAACAGCAACAGCCACTGATCTACATAAATATGTAATTCATGTCCGACCTGAGAGCTGCTGACTCCAAAAACTAGAAAGCGCCCCACCTTCTGAGGCAAGCAAGGATACACTACCTGCAAACTCGAGTTGCTGCTCTAGAGAGGCACTGATGCAGCAGGCAACAGCAGCAGCAACTGCTGCTACTGCAGCAGTCCGAGGAAGCTGACTTACTTCAATGCAGCGGCAGCTGAGGGCGCATAGATCTACAGCGTCGCGAGGAACGCCAGCAGCAATAAGAGCCGAAGGGGATGAGCAGAGCCTCAGCAAGTCTTGCAGAACCATCCCAAGGGCTTCACTCAAAAGACGCATATTAATGCTGTTGTTGTTGCTGCTGCTGCCACTGCTGCTGCTGGCGCCAACGCCTTGGGTGCTGCTGCCTGTGTTGCACACCGCAGCTGCAACTCCCCGCTGTTGCTGCTGTTGCTGCTGCTGTTGCTGAAGCACGAGCTGCTGTTGTTGCGGATCTGCAGCAGCGAATGCAGCTCCGAAAGCTGGGAGGTCGCTTAGCGGGGCCCCACCGCGGGACCTCGGGGGCCTTCCCCGTTTTCTGGGGTTATTTTGGTGCTGCGCTTGTTGCTGTGTTCGGGTGTATGAGCGCCTGGCGGCTCCGTCCGTTGCCTCATCGTCGCTGAGGTGAGTTGTGGGCGGACGCCTCTTCCGCAGTTCATAGGGTCTGCCCCCTGACGGGGAGGCTGTTGCATGCTGCGCGCCGCTGCCTGCAGCACTAGACGCGGCGCCTCTGCTGCTGTCTGTGTCTGCTGCTGCTGACGCTTCCTCTGCATCCGTTTTGCTGCCTTCATCGGTCTCCTCCATCAGAGTGAGGCCTAGTCTTTCGAGCTCATCGCTGTCGTCGCCGTCCGGCAGCGGCTGGCCTGCAGCAGCGGCAGCTGCTGCTGCAGCCGCAGCAGCTCCCGCTCTTTGCCTGTACTTCTCCGTGAGCTCTGCTGCGATTGCAGCTGCGTCAACGGCTTTGTCTCCACCTCCCGCCAAAATTTCCTCCTGCCTCCTCCTGCATTCAACAGCTAGCTGCCTCGCCTCCGAGAAGCCGTACCTGGGGACAGAGAAATACACATTTTTCTTTCGCCCGCTGCTGCCCTGTTGAACCGGACCCACTGCAATCCACTCGTGGCGAGTGCTGCTGTAGCAAACACCCTTCACGCGCTCAACCTTCTTCGCCCACATTTGCCAACGCGAATACAACTCAGGTCCCACAACCCGCTGCCGCCGTCGCGGTGTAGCCCCAGCAGGACCTGCAGCAGTTTCCTCCGTTGCTGCTGCTGACGACGAGCGCGATTCACCCTCCTCGCCACATTCTTCTCCAGCTCCAGCAGCACCTGATGCTTCCACTTCTGTTTCACCTGCATCTTCTCCAGCATCAGTCGTTGCTGACGCCGCCTGCCCACCGCCCCTTAGTGCTCCTGCTGGCGCCGCACCTGCTGCTGCACCCGCTGCTGCCGGCGGGGACGACGCTCTCTCTGACGGCTCTTCTCTTTTCTCTTGAAGACACTCATCCCCTTTTTTAGTCGCGGCCTCTGATGAGCTGGACGCCTTCGAATTTGCCTGTCCCGCCAAAAATGCTGCAAGAGAAGGAAGTCCTCCAGACAGCTCACCTAGAGCAACCTCAGACACTGCCACGGATGCACCACTGTTCTTTCTTTCCGTTGAAGCAGACGCTTCTGCTGCTCCTCCTGCTTCCCACTGCCGGTGCTGCTGCACCTGCTGTTGCGGCTGGTCCTCTGCCGGCAGCGACCTGACACTCCAGCCATTTGAAGATTGCCGCTCAGAGCTGTCTCCACTTCCCTCTGGATATTTCTCGCTCTGCGGTTCCTGCTGCTTCTGCTCATCCTCTTCCTCAGCAGCACTAAGAGACGCAGCATCAGATGCAGCAGTTCTCCCCCCATCCTGCCGCTGCTGCTGCCGCTGCGAACCCCCCATTCCTGACCCCTGCTCCACGAAAGCCACGGGATCTGGGGATGTACCCGCCATTTGATGTGCGTAAACTCGTGGTGCTGCTGCTGCTGGCGTTGCTACCGTCCCCGTTGCTGCTGCGATTGCTGCGATCACATGCGCCGTGTGTGCTTTCTTCGATCCTAACGATACAGACTCTCCTCCCGCTAATGCCGCTGTTACTGCAGCCTTCAGTGTTGCTGGCAGTGTTGCTGCTGATGTTCCAGCCCACGCTGGTGCTGCCGCTGCCCTGCTGCTCTGAGCGCACTGCGCCGATGAAGTAGGATTATCCAGTGTTGCTGCTGCTGCTTTAGCCGTCTGTATTTAAGTTCCCATACAGTGCAGCTACAGCACCAGCATCAGCAGCAGTAGGAAGCGCCTTGCTGCTGCTGGTTCCCGTCTGAGAACAACCGCGCTCTCGACCCCCCCCCCCCAAGNGCGCCTTGCTGCTGCTGGTTCCCGTCTGAGAACAACCGCGCTCTCGACCCCCCCCCCAAGCAAAAGGAGCAGCAGCAGCAGCGGAGAATTGCCGGAAAGTACGGCCTACGATTCGGGAAAAAGCCAAAAACAAGATTGAAACGAAAACGGAGTTATATTTCAGAGCGGAAAATGGGCAGCAGCTTCAGCAGCAGTTGCTGCTGAAAATGCAGCAAGGCCACAGCACGGCGAGCCGGAGGACTCCGGCTTCTTAAACGACAGAAATAGTCACCTTGGCGGTGCGTTGTGTCGTTTTTAGCATAGATGAAGCCTCTCGATAAGCTTCTTAAAAGAGATGTTGCTGCTGCTCCGGGCGCAGCAGCTGCAGCTGCTGCTGCCACGAGGCAGCAGGAGGAAGCAGAGATGACGAAGAGTGAAGAGGAAGAGGATACAAAAAAGATCCTCTTTGGGCTAGTTTGTTTGAGTGTATGTAAAGTCTGCTGCGTTTCAGCCAAAAAAGCCGTGGCTACCGCCGCTGCTGCTGCTGCGTTGCAGCAACGAGGCGCTGGTGTTGCTGCTGCCGGCTGCTGTTGGCGCCGTTGCTTGCTAACAGCAAAACAATACTGCTGCTGCCGTGTCCTCCCTCATCCCTCCAAGTTAACCTACAGCAGCAGCCGCTACAAGCCCAGCACGAGCCAGCATTGACAGCAGCAAAAGCCGCTTCGTCGTTTCTGCTGCTTCTGCTGTCCTGGGCAGTGCAGTAGTTGCAAGGACAGTTGCTGGTTCCGTTGCGTCAGCTGTCTCTCCTCCAACACTTTATTTCACAGGAGCCAACAGGATAAATTTGCTGCTCAAATACTCGCTGAGAAACCCCAAAAGAGTTAAGTTAAGGAACTATTGCTGCTGGGCTTGTGTCCCTGGGGTGGTTGCAGCAGCTGCAGGCGTCGGCGTGCATCTTGCGTACGTGTCCGGGTTTCTTGTTTGTTTGCTTTTGAATCTGAAAATACATTATTCCACATTTTAGGGCAATCTAGAGCCTCCGGAGTTTGAGACATAACAAGAGGTGGCCCTTTAAATTTCGCTCTAGAGACTGGGCACCCTTGTTATCCGTGATCACCAGACAGGGTAGGTTCCTTGCGTATTTGCTGCCCATATGCGGCTTCTAAGCTCGGTTATTCCAGTGACTTTGGGAACATTTACCGCTTACCTGTGAGCATATCAACCTAAGAGACGGGTTTTCAGCTCCAATAACAACTGCGTGAGAGTCACCTGCGGGGCTGGGAGCTGCTACGGTGTACCTGCAGCGCTAAGAGAACGCATACAGTGGAAACAACAAGCCATCACTGTGAGTTTGTCTTTTCTGCCCCTCACGGGGCCTCTTTCCCTCACACAAGCAGAGAGGCATCGCCTTGCCACTGGACTGCGTCTCGAACTGCATTTCAGTGCAATTTAGACTGACACAGTGACCGTATAGGGAGGCCAAACGAAAAAGCGGTCCAAGAGCGCAGCAGCAGAAGCTACAAAATCTGGTGCTGCAGTTTCTGCTGGAGCTGTTGCTGCAGCTGCAGTTGCTGCTCCTGTCCCCGCTACGTTCCACTGGTTCCGAGTTATTTTGGTGCCGATGCGGGTAGTGCTGCGCCCGTGGTTGCGCCTTGAAAACAAAGGAGCCCCAAGCTCTGATCTGCCTGCGACCTGCCTGTCAGTGCTTCCTTCTTGGATGGCATATAATGGCATATAGGCAAGGGGTCTTAAGGCGGCGGCGCAAGAAATGCTCGAGGCCTGAGAAGGCTTACAGCCAACTATGGGGTGGCGCAGGCGCTGGTTTCCTCTGTGGGGAGCCACGCTGGCCTGCCCTGTGGCGTTGAAGCTGGTATTTCAGCGTAAATACAGTTCTGCGGTTGCAGCTTCGCAGAGGATGGTGAAGAGCCGAGAGTGGCACACTTCTGTGCCTCCTACGCAACCACAGCACCCAGTACACTTGCGTTCTGCAGCTGCTCTTCTCAAAAGCGGTTGCATGGATCCCTTTAGCTGTAATTTGTAGTTATTTTCACGGCTCTAATGGGGTTCTGGTCTTCGCTGGGGCTGGCAATTGCTACTGCTCAAATTGCAGCAGCTGCTTTCAGATGCTTCTGCTTTGCCTAGCGCCCGTCCAGCTGCATAGGTGCTGCAGCTCAGCGGTGCAGTTCTCGAGCTATGGATTTTGTGGTGCAGGATGTGCGGTAGCGGCAAGCAGAAAATACGTCGTCCGTCGTTGCTGTGTTTCGGTCACCACCGTAGTCAGTGTCAGCGATTTATATAAGCGTTGAAGCCCCCACAGCAGGACCTGCTGCCGCTACACGGGCAGCAACAAAGGGTGATACTTCTGGAGTAACGGTAGCACGGGCAGCAAATAATTCGCAGCCAACAGCAGCAAGCCAACTACTCTAGGGCTCGAACTGTCCAGCGTGCGTCCGTGTGGTGGGCTGTTGCTGTAACCAAATAAAAAAGAATGCCTCTGCCTTTTCAGCTACCCCAACACTTGGTGCTGTTGCTGCTGTTTCGGGCCCTAGAGGCGGTGCTGCTGCAGCTTTTGCCGCCAACTATCATGCAAACGCCACTGGGGTGACTACAGACGAAGTGCTAAACGACAAACCCACAACGACGAAGTATCCATGAGAATGCGCGTCTCCAGCTGATGTTGTTTCTCAACGGAGTTCGCTAGAGCTGCTGCACTAGCAGTTTTGCAGCAGGGACGCGCGTTGCAGAGTTGGCCAATGCTGGCGTTAGAGTGTCTACGCATCAGCTGAGGTGCTATTCGTCATCTCATCCATCTGAATATCATGTGTATGAAGAGTTCACTCCCACCTGTAGCAAATCTTTAATCTTTGACAATCCGCAGAAGGATACTTTAGTGGGGCCCAAGCCTAGCATGTGGCACTAGGCGGGTAAACCAGCACGTATGTCTTTTACAACTCCAATGTCTTCATAAAGCTTGGGTCCAACATATGAAAGTTTTATTAAACGTTTTATTTGGAGACATGACATGCAGAGCCACACTCGTCTTCTTTCCATACTGGTAGCCGGTTCCAGTAATGCTACAAAAGTGCTCCCGTGGCTGTGCACGATGCCGCGACTGTCGTTCGGCCCATCCGACTTGTAGTTACGTTCACAATTGTGTGCTAATATGCAAAGAAGACTAAAGATACCCCGAGAGAAGCGAAGAATGAGAGCAGTAAGCCGTTCCTTGAGCTGCGGGCTGAGCCCAACCAGAGCAGCTCGAGGCAGCAGCCGAACTTCGGCTAGGCGTGCGGCGCAATCACGTGCAGGTTTTTTCTTCCAGTTAGCTCTAGAGCATTTTGCAGACGGTATGGTGAGAAAGGATCAACGGTTTTTCTCTTGCTACCTCGTGGTACAACAAGCCTCATCGAAGCCCGTCGAATACGTGCTGGCGTGGACCACTGGTCCAATCGCTAGCGGCTTCTGAGTGTCTGCCATATCCACCCTGTCTTCATTTCTTCTCCTTTTCTCTTTTTAAACTTTTCGCCTTTATTTTAAGCTGCATAGATCTCCTGAATTTGCGTTGCAGCCCTAACTCTGGGCGCCACGTCTGGATGCACTTTCACGGCTTGCAGCATCCTTAGGCATAGCATGCGACAAGCCGCCACTTTCACCGCCTTTTGTGCTTATTAGGAACCATGGTGACCCACTCTTTATACCCATAGCCACCCTGCCATTCACCGTTTGTGCAGGGCAAGGAGGTAGAGAGAAGGACGGGAGGATCTCTGATCTCCTTTCCGTCTGCTGTTCTTTGCATTTGCGAACTTGAGTTGTGTCTCCCCTACTTTCAGCCGCATTGATATCCTATCTCAGCATTGAGATTTTTAAGCTCATCAACATGGGGACGTCCGTCGAGAAAAAGCCGTCAAGCACTGAGAGGCCCCTGTCGCGGCCTTCTTCCAGAAGAACTGGGAGGACTGCCGACGCCCAGGGGCCCTCCTACCGCCAGAGCAAAATGGCACAGCCCAAATCTCTAAGGAGTCAGAGAATGGTGAGCCACCCTTAAACCTTCAGATTATGGAGGAAGCCATCTCCTTCACGCACGAGAAATTCAACGCCCTCCTGCCTCTGTTGGTCATGGCTTTAACTGTTAATGCTGCTTTTGCAAGTTACATGCTCTCAATTTTGCTTGTTTTGCGGCGTTTCAGAAGCGGCCGGAGGAGGCTCGAGGGGATAGCGTAGCGGCTCAGCGGATGGGACTCTCCCCTTCCTCGCCAAGAGGAGAGAAGCGCGACTCTTCGAGCGAGGGCAAAGGTCCTCCGTCTCGCGCTCTCAGCAGCAAGATTACACCGGGGGGGAAGCCGCAAAAGGAATCTGCAGTTGCGGACTGCGCGAACAAGGCAGATGCGGGTCCTGCAGAGGGCCACCAAACTCCAAGGGAAAGCCAGCAGCCTCCTCATGACGGGAGCTCCAGCCGCGGGGACAGCCACGCAGATGAACCGTCTCTCTGTCCTCCTAGGGACAGGGCCCAGGAAGTCTGTGAGTCGTCTTCTCCTCAAGGTTCCTCAGGAGAGGTGAAATCACCCCACAGGGATCCTCACTCGGGTCCAGGTTTAACACCTGTTGTTGCACTCGAGGCAAACCTTCAAAGACAGATAACTGAACTGATGCGGCAAAATGCCCTCCTGAGACAGGCCCTGTTAAAGCACATAAGCAGAGAGGAGCTTCTGTTTCTCTTGGCGTACAACACCACGATCGTCCCCAGCTACGCTGGAGACGAACAATCCCTGCAAGACCCCGCGCATACCCCACGGGACTCTACAGCTGCGGACGCCTCCACAACCGAACCAGAAAATAACGAAGGGGAAGAAGAGCAAAATGGCCGAACACGGAACATCGACCTACCCTGTGTGAAACAGTTTTTCATGGCGATGCAATGCTGTTCGCGGCCCCCCCATGAAGCCCCTGTCCCCAGTTCCCCTTTTAATTCCCTAACCACTTGTGAAGGAAACACAACCAGTATGGACTCAGATGGTTATTCCTCGATTGCTGTGGATTTCGATCCCTTCGGGATGCAAAAGGAAGATAAGGAGGAGGCGGAGACCCCGCCGGTAGAAGCTGACAGCCAAAAATCAAGTACCTATGCCATGTTGCTGTTGCTGCTGCTGCTGCTGTTGCTTTTGTTGCCATCTTGCCTTTGTCTGTATTAGGCCATCGTTGCTGCAGCAGCTGCTTCTTGAGCGCTTGTCGTGACCGGTGTTGCTGGCACTGCGTTGTTCCTCGTTTGCCAGCATTGTTTCTGCTGTTTTTGGAGCCAGTGGGGCGTTGTGTTCGAGTGTGTTGCTGCAGCCGTGCCTTCCTCTACAACATCTACAAATCCGCAGCGGCATGCCGTGGAAGGCGGCTCTCTTACGCCGCTGCCCACTCTTTGCGTAGGGCGTCCACCGCACCGGGCGACCTCCCTCGGAGCCCTGGACTCACCGTCCCCTGCCAAGCCCCGTGCAGCAAGGGGCTCGATGTTCTACCCTTCTAGCTACCGCCTGCCAACACTGCTGCCTCAAGCGCTCCCTAACCCCTTACGGTGGTGAGGCCCGTGTGCTGAGCGGTAGCAGGTCTGTGGGAACTCGACGCTGCTTCAAGGCAGGCGACGAGTCTGCAGGCGGGATCGACTGGTCTAAAGGTTCTGGTTCGATTACCACAGAGAGAGAGCTGCAGAAACCTTTTCTCTTCACGAAAGCAAGAAGGATGCACGCGATGTGATGGCACAGCCTTTGCTCCTGGATGGCCCAATACTTCTTCTTTGCCGCCTTCGGCTTCATCTTCGGCGCTCTCAACTGCATGTACATTTCCCATTAGCAAGAGAGTGCCAAAGAAGCGAGTCTTGGGTGCTGTCTTACTCAGGAGGAGCCTTTGAACTCACGCGAGTGGCAGCCTTGCGACAACCGCTGCACTCTGCAGGACGCGCCTCCTTTGGGGGAAGGGGCTGCATGGCCCTTAGAAGTGCGTTAGGGGCACATCGGATCGATCTTCCAGAGTACGCGTAGTCCGCTCCACCTCGTGAAGCTACGCGGACCACAAAAGAGAGGAAAGCCAGTATAGCGCAGTGCTGAAAGCTGGTGCAGGAACAGCTGCGGGGAGTACTAAACCTACACACAGAAATCGAGGCAAAGACGCAGGTGACGAGCAGCGCTGAATTGCTGGCTGGCGGCTCTTTGGCGACAGCCCCATCGAGAAGAAAGCTGCTCCAGAGGGCCTAGAACGGGCCGCAGCAGCAGCCGCAGCGTTTTCTCCAGTTTTTCCTCTACGCCGCGATAATCATTCCCAAGAGCAAGAGCAACAGCAGTAACGGGAGCACCGCGGGGGCCCTCAAACACTCAAGTCGGAGGAGGCATATCCAGACCCGAATATTCAGGATGTGGGTGAGCTCCCTATCGGTGCCTCCGAGTTCCGTAATTAATGTCATTTTCTAACAAGAACCTGTAATTAAGGGAAATATGGCGCAATGCGCCTTGCAGCTGTAGAGGAGGGAGAGACGAACACGGAAAAGGTCAAGGTGGCGGTAGAACTGAGGATTCGGATTTGGGAGGTGAAGGTGGTGGTAGACTTGAGTATTTGGATGCAGGTCTAATACTAGCACTAGTAATCCATCTGCAAGAATTTGTAGTTTGTCAATTAGCAAGTTCTGTGGCCAGGAGCATTCCATTGACTCGAAGCTGGATGCACTTTTTGCTAAAGCACGAGCAGCAAGAGCTGATGGCTACTTGTCAGCAGCTCGACTTAGCTGTGCGCCTCGTAGGCTGTTGCTTTTAGAGCAGTAGCAGCATGCACGGTGCTGATTGTGCACACAATATACATTGAAGGATGACTCCCGGCTGGGAGCATATCCGCTATTCTAACACTTCTCAATGTACGTGCAAGTTTTCTTACCTTCGCAGCTCTATAAATAAGGCAGCAAGCACTAGCAGAGATAAACCTGACAAGGCAGAAGCACCACCAGCACCAGAACAGAGGCAGCCAGCCAGCGGCGTCATGAGAGATGCAACGGTTTGTAACGACTCTCATGATTGAGCCGGCCCAGGCAGTGCTGCATGGTCTGCCGGAAGTTGGCACGTGTAGTTCTATTTGCGTGTAGGCTGCCTAGGAAGGGCGAAGTAGGTGTTCAACAATTTCGTATACAGTGTTGGTGCATGCAGTAAAGGATGCTTCGTTGCGCTTGCATGCGGGGTTGCCGTGGAGACTGGATGCACCGATATGCGTTGCAATTCATGTCTGGCCGCCTTCTTTCCCCCAGCCCTATGCCCTACGCCCGCAGCGCCCTGGACGACTGAGGGTTGCAGGAGAGACCAAATACTTTTGGAGAACTGTAATCTCGAGTATTTCGACTCTAGTGCAGCTCACCACACTCCCTTGACATTTCGTGGACTCTCGCTAAAGACAGCAAACAAAAGACGGACACCCGCTCGGCCTGCGCAACTGTAAATGTGCAGCCTCAACTTCCTTTTATTCCGCAAGACTCGTATTGGATAATATGCTGACTAACTGCCAACTGCAGAGCAAAACACTGTGCGCTCTGATGCGCGCTTCTTTACCCGCAGATCATCGCTGGTGTTCGTTGTCGTCGAGCTTGCAGCCTTTGTGGCACCTTACTGCGCCGCCGTATCCCCCAGAGATGAAGATATTTCCAATATGATTCCAGAGAAAGAACCGCAGCAACGCGAGGTAGGCAAGTACTGTGTAGGGGAATTTCGCTGGGGTTCCCTCACCGGCGGCGGGCGCAGCGCGATCAGGTTGAGATGTGTGCAGTTAAGGGGTTAAATGTGTGCAGAAACACCACCAACCAATGTTTTTTTCCCTTGTAGTTCCTCAAGATGGGCGGAACAGACCGCCGGGGATCTCCTGCGGGAGGAGGCTTCATTTGCTCGAGGGGTTCGATTGTGCTACCGCTCAGCGCAGCAGCTGCGTAGTAGGAGCGCACGCACTGGCCAGTTTGACACATCTTTTTGTTTTTTATGCCCGTGTAACTCACAAAGCTACAACACACTTCTTTTGATAAAGAGAGGAGCCATTCTTCCTCCCGTCTGGCCCAATGGCTAGGCGGAGCCCCCTGCGTGCCGATGGGCGGGGGGAGGCCAGAGAACTTGCGCAACAGAAACAGAGCCACAGAATCATGGGAGTCGAAACTCAGGTAGCGCGGGGAAGTGATGGCTCTGAGGCTTCCCCTTCAGGAGGCAGCGCGTGTTTAACACGGGGTTTTTACGTGACTCCTCAGTCTGCCTGCACAAGCTCGAGAGAAGCGGGACTGCTCATGAAGGAGCTGAGGAAGCACATGCAGGAGCAGAGGCAGCAGCAAGCAGCAGCAGCAACCCGTGCTGCTGCTGGTGAAGCCCTTATGTCCGTCAGAGACAAGCTGAGCAAGAAGACAGTAAGACCCTCTACGCTAAAGCTCGTAAGACATCCTCTCAACGAGGTGACACTTGTGCCAGCAGGAGCATCAACAGCAACAAAGCTGAAGTCGTCAGCAACGGCAAAAACACCAGATGAATTTGCGGGCAGTAACAGCACCAGCAGCAAGAAAGTAGAACTAGTTGATGTATCTATACAAGATAAGAATTTGGAGGAGCAGATATTGTGCGCCTGCCCAGATCTCAGAACTCTGCTGCGGCGTGGACTGACTCTCCTGGAATTTACAGAGGGGCTCGAACAACAGGAACAACAACAGGTGGCGCAGCAGCAGTCGCAGAAGCATCTTGAGGACCACACGACCTATCTGTTGGTCCGACGGGGTCTCCCCAAGTTTTTCGATTTCGATTGGGAGGCGCTCGCCTGCTTCTTTCTGCAAGCAATCTCGCAACAGCAGCAGGTAACACAGCAGCAGAAACATAAACAGCAACAGCAGCTGCAAACACAGCAGCAGCAGACACAGCAGCAGCAACATACACAGCAACAGCAACAGAAACAGCAACAACATACAAAGCAGCGACAGAAGCAGCAAAAGCACAACCAACAGCAGCAGCAGCGGCAACAACAAAAACAAGGACAGCAACAAAAGCAACGAGAGTGTATGGAGCAGCCCAACATCCAAATGCCACAGGAAGTAAAGGAGGTGGAGCAGCAGCAGGAGCCCCAAGGGAGACAGAAGGCGAGCCAGCAGGTCCAGAAGCCTGGGCAGCAGCAGCAGCAGCGGGGATACGGGGGGAAGCAGGTGCAGAGGCAAGCACAAGGGGCTGTCCCCTGCAGTGCATTAGATGTTGCCAATAAAATGTCTGACAACACGCTGATCTGGGCGCATCAATTATCATTGAGTCTCCTGCTTTCTTTCGGTACTCCCAGTGTAAGCGACGATGCAACCAGCAGCAGCAGCTGTAGCAGTGGGAGCTGTAGCAAAAGTACGACGGCGGGCTCGGTGGAAGTGTGGGCCCTAGAGAAGTTGAATGGAGAGGCTGCTCAAATCTCCTTCTGCAGCCAACTCAAAGCATGGGCGTGCTGCAGCAAGAATGTGTGCCTTCTTCTTCCTGCTGCTGCTGCTGCTGCGAGCAGCAGTAAGTACACTATGCCGGGAACAGACGCAGCTCGAGCTGCTGCGTCACATATGGGTGCGGATCTCCTGCAGCAACGGGGAGAGACAGAGCTGCATCTGCACGAACAGCCGAGCAGTGAGCAGCAGCTGCAGCAGCAGGCTAAGGAGCGACAGGCTGTTGAGTTGCTGCGGCGGCTTGGGGCTGACCGAGTTGTTTCGCAGCCCTTCTTGTTTGAAGAACACAGGCGCCACCCCCGAGAGCATTATGCTCTGCGGGTTGCTGCTGCCTGGCAGCAGCAACTGCAGCAGCTTGCACACTCAAAGGTACGTCGATACGCCGCCCTCAGCGTAGCAGTTTGCAGTCTTGTAAACAGCATCGGACAGTTGTCGTCATACGCAGGGCGGGCGGCGCCCCACTTGACTGTACGCCCGTAGGGCTGGGGTTGGTGGCATGGAGCAGGGGATTTGTTCAGGGCTTAGGGTTGAGGATTCAGGGTTTAGGGTTGAGGTTGTTTGGGCGTAGGATTTGCGTTTGACATATGGGTTTGGCGGAGGCTGTGCACAGGTCGAGGAGCTGCAGCAGCTGCTGCAAAGCCATACTCTGGTCGGCGAGCTGATAGATAGTGAGGAGAAGCAACACATCGTCCCTCCACCGAAACGACAGCAGCACCAGCACCGGAAGCAGAAGCAGCAGCAACAACAGCAGCAGCTAGGGCGTCAGCAGGAGGAGCGTCAGCAGAGTAAGGAGCAGCAGCAACAGCAGCAGAAGCAGCAGCAAGCGCACGCAGGGCGACTGGCGTTTTTTGCGTTGGTGCCCCATAAGTTGCAGTCTGAAGGCGTGGGTTTGTGTGAGCCTCCGTGCCTCAGCCCAGGCGTATCGTTGCCACTGCTTCAGTCTTTCGGTCTCGAGACAGCAACTGTAGTGGCACAGTTGCAGGCTGCGTCTCCTTCCGAGCTGCTGCTGCAGCTGCGTCAACTCGAGCGCCAGAGAGAAGAGTCATGTGCAGGCGATACCGAGGGGCTTGTCCTTTACTTCTGTAGGTGCAGCAGCAGCCGTGGCAACAGCAGCAGCAGCAACAACAGCAGTGATAGCAGCTTTTGTCAGGAGGGGTGCACCGTTGTGGCCCTTGCCAAGGCCAAAACAGCTTCCTACCGAATGCGCAGAAAGCTACGGGAGAGGCTGAAATGCTTGATACGGAGTTGCTGTTTCTGGGAAGCAACGGCAGCCGCGGCTGTTGCAGCAACAGCTGCTTGTCCTGCAGGAAGACCAACAGACAAAGAGGGAGGGGGGTCACATAATGTCTCTTGTGCTGTTCTCGAGGCATTTGCTGCTCCTGCGGGGGTTGAGGATGCAGAAAAGGCCTCTGGCAGCGGAGTCAAGGGGCAGTTAACTGCAGGCACAGCAGCAGAAAGAGTAGCGGCAGCCAAACTGGCTGCCGCAGAGGCAGCACTCCGTGCCCAGGTGGCCGCGATCGTTGGGATGTACTGGTGTAGCGCACTTGAAGGTGAACTGAGCCGTTTTGGCAGTATGCTCTGGTCTTGTGTGCACCAGGGATCCTCTTCACTTCTGATCAGTGAAGTCCTGAGGCTACAGAACCGACAAGCAGCAAAGCAGGTGCTGCCGAAGCAGCTGCAACGGCTGGACTTTGACAGTTTAGTAACGGAGGAGAGCGCTCATTTCAGGAGGGCGGCAGCATTTGCATGCTCTCTCTCTGCCGCGCTGCTGCTGGCGCTGAGGTGCCTCCCAGACCCACAGAACGTGTCTCTGCTCTGGCAGAAACAACAGAGTTCGCACAAGCTGCAGCTGCAGAAAGAGCAGCAGGAACAACTAGGGACGTGCAACTTCGGTGGCGTTCAGCTACAGAAAGACATATCTTTTCTGCAGGACCTTATTCATGGGCCAGTAAGGCAGGAGAAATTAATGTTTTCCGGTTGCCTTTTCCGGTTTCTACTGGGCTATGTTGACTTGCGCTTCTTAGACTTCATGGCAGACAGCAGAGCCTTCGCTGCTGTCGCTGGTGCCCCTAAGAGCTGGGTAGCCCCTTCGCGGGAGCTGCTGACGCAACTGCAACGGGTAAACAGCAGCAGCAGGGGCATACACGGTAGCCTGCCCTTCGATCTCGTCAGAATGGCAGACCTGCAGTATGCTGGCGCCGCAGTTTTGGAGCAACTGCAGGGGAACGACGACAAATGCTCGAAGGGTCGCACACGGAAACAGGGGAAGCATCTGCGGCAGCAGCATCAGCAGCACGTGCAAATAAACGAGCTACGAAGGACGCTGCAGCCGCTCACCATATGCATCGTGGCTCCTCCTTTGCTGTTGACTGCTGATCAATATCAAGAACTACAACAGGTTTGCCTTGGTCGTGGCTGCCGCTTGCTGCTGCGTCACAGGGCATGCGCTACTGCTTGCTGTTGTTGCTGTCTTCATGACTCCAGGAGCTTTTGTGACGTCAGTGCAAAGGCAGCTGCCTCCGCTGTCGCCGCAGATAACTGTTTTTCCGCGTCGTTGGTTGTAGCGTTAGGCGTCGATCCGCATGGCAGCCGTATGGCCTTAAAGAGGCTTCACCAGCTGCTGGAACAGCAGCAGGTGGAGAACCAGCACTCAGGGGAGCAACGAAGCTGGGACGGCATAGCTTTAGTCAGCCAGAATGGTGTCATTGAAGGGCTGCGGCCCTGTGTTCCAAAGAAGGGAGTGTCCAGCGGTTCCTCGACGAAGGCAAACCGTTTCCTTGCGGCGGATGCTGCAGTGGGGAAAGCCATATTACAAGCAGGGAGCACAGCTATCGCAGAAGGCATTCTTGCTCTGGCTTCGAAGTCCTGCAACGCGGAGAAGCTGCAGGCCGCGTGCGGCACCGCCACGGAAACTCAACACGCAACTCAAGACCTTCAGGCGCCTTTGCAGGCTGCGATTAATATTTTGGGCGGCCGCCCTCCCTGCATTCGGCTTTCGTCTTCGCTCCTGACGACAGAACGTGGTGAGCCGGAATACGGTAATTGGCAGCGGGCACTTGAACAAGTTGCTGCTGCAGTTCAGGGTGTGAAGCACACCGCATCCTACGACTCACATTCACCAGCACAGAACCGCCCGAAGGCACCTTTAGGACCTTCCCACGCAGCCGCCTCCTCCAGTGGGCACCAGCGTGCAGAGGCAGGCTTCGTTGATGACCGCTGTAAAGTGATGGGCACCTTCACCGACGCCGCCTGGCTCTCCCTGGAGCCTTCGCCAGCTGCCTCTGTGGTGGCACTGCTGCCAGTAGGCCTCCCTGGTAGCGGAAAGACGACAGTGGTGCTGGAAGCTCTGCGCCCTGCGCTTAGACAAGAGTTCATTTCCAGGAACACCTTCTCCGTTGGAGGAGTTACTGGTGAGATCCATAGGATTTGGTCCACAGTTTACGCTGTAGGTTTTGCTTCCATTGAGTGCTGATCGGAACATAACCGTGGTTTTTGCGCTATGTTTCTGCCTTAACTCCTTGCAGGTCTCGTTTTGTGGGAGGGAAGGCCTCCGCTCTCCGCAGGGAGAATGGACAAGGTACCAACAACAGAAGCAGCTGCAGCAGGAACTGCAAGTGCAACAGTGACGAAGACCACGGCTTCAGTGGCAGCAGCAACAACAACCGCAGCGGCAGGGGTGGCAGCAGCAGTGGCAGCAACGCCAGCGCCGTTGGAGTCTGTCTTCGATTGTGTTTGCCTTTTAAGTTCTGACGAATTTACGGGGGAAGCGTTGCGTTCCCTGGGGTACAACGCCCCTACTGGCTCACTCTATGAGCTGTGTTTTGAGGAAGCAACAAGGGCAGGCCCAGCAGCTAGGGCTCGGCTTAACTCCCCTTATCGTCAGGGGGACATTGGCAGCCTTTCCTCTTTGCATTTGGATGAGAAGACGATGAAGGCAGCAATTGCAGAGGGCAGGGGGAGGTTGAGAACTTCCCTTAATGACTTTTTCACACACTTGACGGAAACGATCGTGAATCGGTTCTTGAACGAACAGCAAAACCAGCAGGAAATGAAGGACAAGGGATCTTCTGCCGCGGCAGGTTCTTGGCGTCCCCTGCGCGTTTTTGTTGTGGTGGACAGAAACCATCCCCCCAACGCCGTGAGCGGCCGATTTTACGAGGTGGAGAGTTTGCTGCATGCGCTTCAGTCGACAGTCTTAATGCGTTGTGGAGCGCGGGTGAAAGTTGCGACTGCAGCGCTGCTGCTGCCTCCTGATGTGGCTCAAGGCGGATATCCGGTGCTCTTGAGGCAGCCCGGCGGATGCTCCAAGCCACGCAGCATCACATGGAACTATCCTTGGTCCGTCAAAGTTGTTCTACGCTGTATGTACAGGGTGCTGTGCCGCGGCAACCATGCGACGCTCGCCGGGGGAAGGCAATGCCGTTCTACACCATTGGCGGGGCTCGCTGACAGCTCCTCTGATTCAGATGTTGCACAAGATGTGAAGGCCCTACATATATGTCTCTCATTCCTTTCTTGCTTCAAAGGATATTGCAATATCTACGACTTCTTGCGCATACACCCCAGCGTCACCCACGTTCTGCAGCTCCAAACAGTGCTGCCTATTCAGCAACAACAGCAGCAAGAGCACTATCAGCAGGAGAACCAGCAGTTGCAGGATCAAGAGCAACTTCTTCTCAGAGCCCTTTCCACCCTGAAACCGTTTAGTGAACCGCCAAAGAACGAGTGTGTGTACATGGCTCTTGCAGCAAGTCTGAGGCAATACCCCCCAGAGGGTCCAGTATCTGGCGAGTCTCAGGCGAACCAGCTGGCCAGCGTTCGTCGTTGCGCAAGTGAACTATTGCAGCGCGTTGATTCTCTGTTCACTGCGATGGAGGAGCCAATGCAAGAGCGCGGCCAGCTGCTACAGCATCAGCTACAACAGCCACAACACCAGCAACAACAAGGATACCGACAGGAGCGCCATCATCACGATATGGTGCCTCTCTGTGGCAGAATACAGCAACCTCAAGGATACGTAGACCGCGTGGCACCGAAAAAGGGCCACATGACGTCGTACAAGGCAGATACCCCTCCCGTGTTCAACTTAACACTAAAGCTACCTACTTACTTTCGCGTTTTTCTGGGGGCGGAGAAAGAGGCGCTTTCCTCGCTCACTGAACAGCTAATGGCAGCGGCGCGGAGTTCCGGGGCCACCTCTTTTCCTTCCGTGGCAGACATCTGCAGGAACCTGAAGCCCGTTGACAGCCCCCACGTAACGACATTTTTTTTGGGTGGAGGAACGCTGAAGGCGAACCGGGGAGAGATTGAGGCTGCGAACGAATGGCTGGACAAACAGTTTTCCTCTGCCTCTATACACGACTTGTCTTGTAAGGATCCCACCAGCCAGAGTAATTCTTCGTATTCTTCTTTTTCTCCCCGCATTCTCCTTCTGCACGAGCTGTTGGCGTCGCGGAGACAAATCAACCTCTATTTCAAATTTCAGACGACTCATCTGCTTCTCACTGATATCGGCTTGGCCTGCGCAGCACTAACCCCTCTCTCTCCAGTTCTACCGCTGGCAGAGCCTCCTCCACCCCAGACATCCTCCGGAAAGACATCCATAGGGGGCAGCACTTTTTTAACGGAACCTCTCTCCGGGGAGCCGGTTGGTTGCCTTGCGACTTCGCTGGAGATCGACGCTGGTGTAGGGAAATGCGGGCCTTCCTGCGCTGTATGCGGGCCTCACGAAGTGAACCGGGCACCGTCGGGTTCGCATCCCTTGTGCATGGCTGCAAATCACTATGCGCATGTCACCCTTGGCCTTTCTGGAGACGCAACAGCAGTGATGTCCAACGATGCGATAGCAGCGGCAGACATGGCCATATTACAAGGCATAAGGGAGAAGAAGTTGAGGGCGGACACTCCTAGACCTTTCCGCACGAGCGGCCCACGCAATAAAGTAGGCGTCCCTGAAGATGTAGCAAAGTGCCGTGCTGCTAACGATGCGTACCAAAATCTAAATTGTTATTCAGTAGGAGACAGCGATGACCCACAAGAGCTCATCGTTTTCACAGGGGTGCCCATAAAGGGCAGGCGCTCCCGCTTATGGGTTTGGTCCTTACCACCCGAGGCACAGGAGGAGCTTGAGGGACCCTTGCAAGCTTGTTAAGCAGGAACATGGACTTCATCTGAGATGTACCAGCACCAAAGAGTTTGTAGGGCAACAAGGACGACGCATGTTCCCCTCGGGGATCCGAAGCTGCTTCCGTTTCTTCTTTGCAATTTTTTCGTTTCTTCTTTGCTACTGGAATTTTCCCGCTTGTTCTCAACCGTTTTCCTTTCGAAAAACGGCCACAACTGATTCACAGTGTAAATGCATCAGACCACAGACCAAAGACTTTTTTTTCCGGTTGGAACCCTGCTACCAGGATGTTGCATTAGTGTGATCTGGCAAAGGGTCAATCGCTATTCATAGTGAGTATCTATAGCTGTGTTACTGCAAGCTAGTCGCGTGAAAGGCAGCGGCAGCGGCAGACGAATTGACATTGGCAAAGCCTTTATACTGAGTGCAACAGCTCTGGATGCGGGGGCTTGGAGAAGGAGACTGTGGAGCAGTTGTACGCAGCATTAGCGTTTGCCGACGCAGTTACAAATCATCCAGGTATGGTTGATGCGGAGGAAATAGTTTGGCATCGCGTGACGACGCATCATGCCTTCAAGTTTGTAGTTTCCCTTGCTGCCCGCGGCTAGTGCTGGATAGACAGGCAGACTAATTGCGTACGGTGACTGTAATCGCAGGCCACTACAAGTTGATGGCAGCAACCCGTGGGTTGCTGTATAGCTAGTTGCAGAAAGCAGGCTGAGGGCGCGCGACGAAGCAGATGCTTCTTTATTTGACTTGGCTCGAGAGGAAACGGTGTAATCCAGTTACCGCTCTGTCTCCCACGAAACGATCCACTTATTGGTGCTGGTAATGGTTTTGCATTAGATTCGGGTGGTCACCATACAGGATCATCATCGCCATTTTCCTAGTAAACTAAACAATTGCAGTGCTGTGAATGTTAAGGAGAGCAGAATTGTCTCTAAATGACACTGTGCTTTGATCTGTGGGCACCGCGAGGCAGTCCCCACAATTATGAGAAGCAAAAACTAAACTTGCTAGGCCGCGAATCCAGGACCGACTTCGGGCTCTTCAATTAGGCTGGAAACGCTGTGCTGTCAACACTTAGTCCTTTTGTCCTGGCGGACAGACACTATGAATACATCGTTGTTATAATGTGAAATGAGTTGAGGGAGGCTTCTCTGGATTTGATCGAAACCCCGCGCAAGCATGGCTAGCGGCACAGGAGCGCCAGAAGTCAGACTTGCTTGGCATGTGATTATGCTGTTCCGCCAGCACTACGCCCTCACCTCCAGGAAACAATGGTCAGTTAGTTTCTAAGCAAATGCATCTGGCCTCTTGGCTTTGCTCTGCACTTATTCTACGAGGACCCAGATGAAACTGCTCACGGTCAGACAGTGTTGTTTGCTTCTGGTGCGGCGGATTACTCTTCCTTCTGTTCGTGTCAGGCAAAAAAATGACAAAACCACTTGTTCAGTAGACATGATTATTAGCGAGCTTGCTGCAATTTACGTTTTCTTCTGGGGTTGAGTTACTGCCCGCTCTAATGGCTCTGTGCTGCAGTGCCGCTTTGAGCTCCAACGTTCAGCCTTGCAAGCAAGTAAGGCTTCTACCATTCGTACGACAGACTCGGCAATGCAGAACAAAATATGCACCCTCAGTGTTTTCCCCCTTCTCCAGCTTAGGCAACTGGAGAAAAGACAAGGCATCAAGGCAGAGTGGCATACAACCGAGGAAAACAGAATTTGGGAAAGGCGCAATTCTCCGAAAGTATCGACTTTAAACGTGGCATTCTCCACACGTGCCGCAATACGTGGAGAAGCAAAGCAACTTCAAGACTCGCTCAAGCGCTTACCGCAGTGAACGATACCCCGTAACACGCAGTAAAGTTATTCGAATTCAGCTGTATCAGATTGTTGCTGTATGGCACAGTACACATTCTACAGATCACCCGTGAGTTCAAGTCTGCATGACACGAAGCTTTGGATTCACTAGACAAGATATAATTTGCTGCCATCGCCTCCATGTCTCTACCTATTGTTTCGACTCCATTAGATGAGGTCAAGAACTTGTACCCCAAAGGTTATCCCTGCAAACTCTGCTGAAGGGGTTCAGCGAGCTCCGGAGAACTCCAAGAAGACCTATTACTCATGCTCAGACCAACCGACTGCCTGTCCACCAACGCAAGCTGCAGTTGTGCAAGTGTTAGCAGGAATCGTCGGCAACTGTTGGACCATCGAAGGAGGATGCACAATCCTTGTGGAACGTACCTTTTTTGAACTAAATTACATCACATGTCGAAGGACACTTCCCCTCCGCGGCTAGCGCTGCATTTGCGCTTGTCTAGACGGGGCTTTAAATTGGTGAGTCATCAACAAGCTGCACTTTGTACAATGCCACTACTCTGTTAGGCCAACCGCTGCTCAAACGCTGCATGAGGTATCCGCTTTGATGGAACAGCTTCTAAGCGGCTCTTGAATACTGAAAAATATCTTGGATTGCCTCCCAAACCTGGCAACTTGGAACGCATCCCCAGCCAGTCTCTGGGCCTGAAAAATGAGCGGCTAAAAAACTATGGAGCTGAAACGTGGTTCAATTTACCGAGCTGAAATCAAAGTTTTGGGGAGAGTTGTCCCCTGGCCCTTCGAAGTATCCGATATGTACACGAATCAAACTGGCAGGCGGTAGAAATGATGGTTGTCGGAGTTTACACAGCTTGTGACAGCCTCAATGATTATAAACCCATAGCAACGCAGTGCAAGAACAAGCGAATGGCAACGGGCTGTAGAAGGAGCAGGGACACAGCAGGTCAACTGGCGCAACAGGCCGTGCCGTCGGCAGAGGCAGTCTACTAGTGTACGATTATGTTGATTAAGTTGAACTACATGCAGACTCGGCGGGGAGACCTTTCACAGTTATAACACGGGCAGTGCTACAGCAATGCTACCACTACTCCCGAAGAAACGTTGCACTAGGAGACAGGCGCAAAATGGCGTTTGGCTCAGTATGCTCGGCAGCGTCAATGGGAGAGTGACAAAGAGGGCAAAATCACAGCGCCCTACTCAAAGTTGAAGCTTTTCCAGTCGAAGTGAGTATAGTTCTGGGGGTATAGTATCTCACGGAATTAACCGAGAGCAAGGCGGCCCGCAGCTGAGTTGTGCTGGCGGGCCCTTTACGCCAGAAAAGACGTCAAAACAAATACTAGAGGCGGTGCATCGGAAAGTTGACAAGGCATGGCACCGCCAGCGGCAGAAAGGGCAGTGCATTGGAGGTCCCGAGTCGATTGGCTTAAGCATCAAAGTCCTTGATTCAAGCCAAATAAGCCCCCCAGTTAGGACAAGTGCTGAAATACTTGTCAAAATAAAACTCACTGAGAGGCTCTCAGAAACAAACAGAAATGACCCTAGCGCCCCTTCATATGGGAGCACGGCTGCCCTCGAGCGTGCTGCTTCTCCAAGGGGGACTGGCATTCATGCAAAGACACTGCCTAGCTTGTTAAGCACTCTTGAAGGCTTTGAGGACTGCTGCAAACTCTCAGCAGGTAGGTAACCAACACCGCTTGTACCTCCATGAGCGGCGCACCTCTGTCGCACGGGCCCTGGACTCCTTCTAGGCGTTAGATGGTAGGCCACGTCCTTAAAGCCTCTACGCCGCTGCCTGACAATGAGGTCGAGAACGGATCCAGAATGGAATCACGAGACCGCTACTCAGTGGCTTAGTCTGGTACGAAGAATGCCTTCAGCAAGTGGAGAACTGGGTTAGGCTGAGCCCCATGAAATACAGTGTCGAAATCTGTAACCTTTGCTGATTCAGCGGATGTGCAGCTTTCTATGCAGTCTTGCAGGTAGAAGACCCGCCGTTAGCCAGACCATACCTGCAAGGACGAACACCGTGAGGGGTCACAACTGGCAGCAAGCCAGCCGTGGGTTTATGCGTATCCTCCGTATATGCTTCTTTGCTTGCTGGAAAGCCTCGCGTTAGTTATTCGGGCGATATCTTCTCTTTCGGGAGCCAGTCCCTCCCACACAGCTGGCGAGCCAGAGAAGTGCCTGGGGCCTTGAGAAACCCTGGCGCTTTTCTCCATTAGCCGTTTCTACCACCTCAAGCAAATCTAGAAAGTCTGGCTTCATCACTGTTGGCTACATGAGATGAGACCCTGCGGTTTCCGCAGGACCGCTGGACGGAGACAAAGGTAGCTGGTCAATTCTTGCAGCTGTTAAGGGTTCTAAGCGGTGCAATTTCCATTTAATCTACATCATGCGTTACCATGTTTGCATCGACCAAACATGGTGGAAATGCGAACCCTATCGTAAAGCCCATACCTTACATCCACGTTCCCACTTTAACATCCTTATATTTTGCATACGGTTAAGGCATTCGATATGCGATGCAACACAGCCAGCACAGGATCCCTGGCATTAGAGGATCTGGAAAACGTAGAAATGGCAATGCAAAAGACAAACGCTTCGAAACGGTCGCCAAACTCGCAAGCAGAGGAACAATGCCAGAAACACGCGCATCGACGCCAGTTCGATGCGAAAAGGCATAAAACGACTTTATATGTTCCCGCTGTGTCCCGATGGGGTCTTTGTTTTCAATACATTTTTGTCCGCTTCAGTTCCCTCCGTTATGTGGTGCTTCGTCCGATACTGGCGGCTTGGACACCTGATGCTACGAGCTTCCAGACACTTCTGCACTTCCCAAGAAGGACGCTTACATCATGCAGCGCTTGATCAACACTGCAGGTTCGAGGTTGACGTGACCGCGCCCAGCACTTGGGATCATCCTACGCTCTTTCTGTGGCGGGAGCATCAGCCGTGTACTTGGGAGTAAGGAGGGATCACTGGGCAGCGTCCTCTCTAAACTTTTCAAGCTCCCGTGAACGGAACAGAGTCGGGTTTCCAGGAGAGCAAAATATCTCTCTCTTGAGCTCAACCACCTCCTGAGCTGAAGGACGACGTCCCTGTCGGTATATGTGCAACGCAGCAATCATCCGGCGGATGGTTTGAAAGCGGGTAGTTTGCATTTGTCTCTGGGTTACTTTCGTA